CTGACAGGTGTGGAGAGCTGACAGGCACTCAGAGCTGACAGGTTTGTGGAGCTGATGACAGGTGTGAAGAGCTGACAGGTGTGGAGAGCTGACAGGTGTGGAGAGCTGACAGGTGTGGAGAGCTGACAGGTGTGGAGAGCTGACAGGTGTGCAGAGCTGATGACAGGTCAGTGTGCTGTCCCACTGGTGCTGGGCTGCTGAGGCCTCAGGACAAGGCTGCCCACTGGGAAGGTAGGGGGTACGCAGAGCTGACAGGGGTACTGAGCCTTGAAGGAACCACTTGCTTGTGGGTCCACCTTAGGTTTCCTGCTAAGTCATCAGCCCCCAACAAGAGCTAAATGCAAGTTTTCACTGCCAGACATTCACCATGTGACTCATAAGTGCAGCCAGAGGAACAACTTTGGAGTTGTCAGAGGGTCGAGTTTGAGCTCCAGTTTGCCATGTACTGGTTATGCAATCTCAGTAAATTATTCAAATTCATGGAGCCTCAATTTGCTTGTGTAAAAGGGAAATCTCCCAGGATCATCATGAGAATTAAAATAATTAACATTCATGAAATTGCCACACCTGGTGCCAGATGCCTAATAATCAACAAATATTTACTAAAATATGCAATCCAGACAGCCAATAGCAGTGTAAGAGGTAAAAAAAAGACAGATCCTTTAAGAAATTAAGACGCCTACCTGACTGCATTAGGAGTCACCAACTGAATTTACCTATGAGAGCTGAACACAATACAAAGTAATGCATGAAACAAAAGGACATGCATTCACCTTCCTTAGGTCCAGGCTGAGTCTGAGAGGGGGCGGCTGGCAGGGGCGTGGTGAGGCTGGTCTGTGGGGCATCTCAGAGGAGGAGGGGCCTGAATACTTTTAAAGGAAGAAAAAGGTCTATAGTTTGAAAGAGCACGGTGAGGGAGTTGGATAAGTTCAAGATGGATTCCATTAGTTAACAGCTGAGCCGAAGTAAGAACACAAAATTAGAACCTGCATTTCCAGGGGTTCCTAGTTATCCAACACCATCAAGTGATGAGGTCAAGACCAGGCATCTCACTCTTGTTGGAAAGGCCAATGCCTGGGGCACAGGACTCAAGAGTTTGTTTTGCTAAAGTGCTGATTTTTCATTGCACCCTGGACAGGAGCTGAAGAGAAGCCAGACCTGGGATATCAAAGACCAGGCTTAGAGACTGGGTCTGCCCAGCCTCAGCCCATCGGCCTCCCTGCCCCTCCACCACCCACCTCACTCTCAACTTAAAAACACCAGGCTAGACCTCAGGACGCCTGGCTTCTCTTCCCAGCTCAATCCCTTTGTGGCTTTAGGCAAAAAAGATGGAATATTTTAGCTTTTTAGTTATGTTCCCTGAGTGAATGTAACCAGAATCCTCAGTTTCCCCTTTATAACTGTTTGCCTCTCTCAAGGCCTGCTGCTGGGCTGAAAACACACACAAAAACAAACCAAAAAGTACCACGTGAGATTCATCTAGTCCTTGGAAATTTCCATGTAAGCTGGGGAAGCAGCTGGAAGGTGAGAAGCCCCCCAGATTTAAGAGGCCCACAGTGCCCAGGGCATGTGGAGCCCCAGGGCGCCAGCTTCCTCTCACTGTGTCTGTTTCTGACTCTCCCACAACCCCGCCGAAGCTTCCCCCCTCACCTGACTCTTACCTAGCAGTCCCTGAATTCTTGATTTCTGTTTTGGGGCCTCCTGCCTGTATCCCTAGGCCTCTCCCCGTCTTTCGGCACCTACAATCCGTACCGCCGTGATGCTGCATTCCCTGCTAGCCCAGGCTTCTTCAATTGTTTACTATCACCTAGTCTCTCCACCTGGGCTGAAAATTCAGCTGCCCAGAATCAAGCCTCGTGCTTCCAGTGCAACCCCCAGCTCACTCCCAATCACCAGGACTCAAGGACCCCAAATCACAGACTTGAAGAGGACAGACAGCCTCTGGCTTATGGAAGGCAATTGTAAGGCAAAAAAAAAAAAAAACAAAAAAAAAAAAAGAAGGGAGAAAAAAAAAAAAAAAAAAAAAAAAAAAAGGACGTGGCTTACTCAAAGTGCCATGCGTCAGTGTCAACGGAGGGTGAGAAGAGGGGGGCGGGTGGGCTCTGAATCTAGCGCTTTCCAGCCTGCAGCTCTACTTGTGGCTGCAGATTCACTCAACAGTTAGGGCCTCTGCCTCCCAGAGTCCCCTCCTCTCTCTACCAAACAGCGGAGACAGCCAGCGAGGAGGCCATCTACCATCTTCTCTTCCTTCCCTTCCTCCCTCCCCACTCCGCTCCCATCTGCTTCTTCAATGGGCTCCCCACAACTTCAGCAAGCAACAAGTAAGCGTTGGGCTCCACCGTCCACAGGAGGCCAAGAGACCCTTCAATGCGTATGGGGTCCAGAGTCCCCAGAAAACCGTGGGCCATACCCAAAGCCCCCACGTCATCCTGAGTGTTTTCCGTTTGGGCCAGATGTAATAAGGATGACTCAGGAAAGGCAAGGCCTGGCAGAGAATGACAACTTCGCTAAGATTTCAGCTCCAGTAAGGGAAGTTCAAGCCAGCGTGGGAAGGTGGGGAGGGGACTCTGCGACCAGGACCTCGCGTGTGCGGCAGCTCTGCTCAGCCTGGCAGCTGAGGAGAGACAGACTCAGAGAGGAACGGAGCTGAACACGCCCACACACGTTCCACCTACACTTGTGATTCTCTTTAAATCACCAAGAAAGTTATGTAAGGAGAAAACATACAGCTCCCGTGGAGAGAAGAAACATTTTGTTCAGCCTTGGGGTATCTGACTTAATAAGAGGCTCCTGGAGAACAAAGCGACAGTCAGCATCAGCCTGGCACACCACGGAGACAAAGCATGGTGAGGGGGAACCACACACCCAGGGACGCACAAGCACCACGCATTCAGAAAGCCAGCTCCCGCAGCTCTGCTTACTCAGCCCGCGGGGTCCCGGAGGTCTTCTCTTCCAGATGCTAATAAGCAGTGCAGGCTTGTAAGCTGCTGGGTGGCAGGATGCGAGTGACAGGGACAGGCGGCACTCCCAGCTCTGACAAATCCTGCTGCCTCACTCGAAAGGTCCACCAGAGAAAGGGTTTCCTAGCCCCTTCAGCACAGGCAATTTCTAGGGTTCGGCTGCGCTCCAAGCTGCTGCCACTGCATCTCTGCAACAGATGGGGACCGGGGCTGGGTGTGTTCCCAGTCCCCAAGGCAGCGCAACAAGCGGCTGGCAGACAGCATGGGCTGGCCTAAGACGGCGCAGGCAACGGTCTTGGTGGCTGGAGCTGGTTTGCTGCTCAAAACGCAGGCAGAGCTCGGGCAGATTCCCTCGTTAACGGGACTGCAGCAGACTCTCATTCCCACCTGTGTCAGGGGCTGCTGGGGAAGAAACTCCTTACCACACGGCAAGCCAGCAGGAGGGAGGGCTGGACCGGAGCTTTTAAAAAGACAGGCAGCAGGACTGAGGGAGGCAGGAGCAGAGGCCGATGATGCAGCAGTGGACAGTTCTGGGCTCCAGGTCCTCTGGCCAGCACGACCCCTGCTCTGTCCCTATTCTCACTTCAGGCAAAGGCTTCAGAAACCTGAACTCCCCGGGGATTCCTGTACTTGGAGTACAAATAACGCGTTTTTCTTCCCCACCTGGCCAGAATGATGAGTATGGCTTTACAAAAGGCTCTGCCAGTGAAATCCCCATTTACACCCCTCTCCCCCAACTCCAACTAGACGGCCACAAGCATCATCCAGGAGACAACAGAGTCTCTGCCTGTATCAGCCATGTCCTTCATTTTCTGTATTCTGATGCTTTGACATCTGGGGCCTTGATGATCCTGGAGGGACTGGCCAATTCCTGGGGATAGTAAGTAACTCACCTGTGAGCTCGCTTTTCCTATGCAAGCCAACTCACACAGACCCTTCCCCTCCTTGCCTCCTCCTGGGGGCTCTCACCCCCTGGGCCACCACCCACTACCCTCATCACCAGACAGCTAGGGACAGTCCCTGTACCCACAGTCCCCTGAAATTATTCACAGAAACCACAAGAAAGGCTCTTGCCCACATTTCCCCCTTGCTCCCTCTGCCTCCGCCCAGCCCCGGTGCTTCCCCACGTGGCAGGGGTGTGCCAAGCCTCCTGCTTCCAGGGATCTCTCAGTGTCGTCAGCTCCTTCCTTTGTGACACTCATTCCTGAGTCTGCATGTCTTACTGTACCTGATTACAACAAATCCCAGGTGCCCTGAAAACAGGCTCTAAGGATGTCCCAGCTGGTGTGGCAGAAAATGAACTGGAATTGTTAGAAGAAAACGAAGGTAACCGGCGGGGCGCGGTGGCTCAAGCCTGTAATCCCAGCACTTTGGGAGGCCGAGGTGGGCAGATCACAAGGTCAGGAGATCGAGACCATCCTGGCCAATATGGTAAAACCCCGTCTCTACTGAAAATACAAAAATTAGCTGGGTGTGGTGGTGCGTGCCTGAAATCCCAGCAACTTGGGAGGCTGAGGCAGGAGAATTGCTTGAACCTGGGAGGTGGAGTTTGCAGTGAGCCAATATCGTGCCATTGCACTCCAGCCTGGTGACAGAGTGAGACTTTGTCTCAAAAAAAGAAAGAAAAGAAAAGAAGGGTTCCCCATTTCAGAACCCCACTATGTCCCTCATTAAATAAAACTTGTTCAGAACTTGGACTTCTCAACAATGGAGGAATTGCTTTCACAGATAGTGAGTGACACGTTGCTGCAGGTATTCAAGAAAAGGAGGCTTCTTCCGGGAGCCTAGGACTCACAGGTTATGATTTAGTGGGCAAACGGGCTGTTCAGGTAAGGTTGGTGGCAGCATAAGGTGGAAAGAGATGAATGTGGGTGACACAGGCAGGAAGGCTCTGAGAGGGCACAGAGGACTGGCGTGGCCGTCACCAAGTCTTGTGGACAAAAACGCAGCTGAGTCAGCTGGGACTCTGGGGGATTCTATCGGCGTTGGAAGTCTGCAGCTTTCTTAACATCACTTTCAGCCCTGGAGGTACCAGGCAGTCACTGTCCACCCAGGCGTCCACCCTGAGACCTGACAAGTCACAGGCCTGGAGCGCTATGGCCAGATTGCTCTGGGAACTCACAAGCCTGAGCCATGGCCTCACCTACCTGAGCGGACACTGGTTTTTTGTCTGTAGAATGAGCCATGGGTTACATGACGTTCCTCAAGGTCCCTTTTAGACCTAAGCACTAATGTTCTGTGTCCACAACCCAGGTGCAAGTCCTGGCTCAGGCATTTCTCTGAACCTCAGGTCTTCCTCTGAAAAAGCCCGCAGAGTGGGCACACTTGCTTGACACACCTCCCGGGGCTGCTGTTGGGATGGATGAGCAAGCGTCAGGACAGAAATAAGCAGCATCTTGGTATGTGCGGGATTATTCTGGAACCAGAGGGCAGTGCTCACGGGAACCTGAGGGTTAGCAAGAAGCTGGCGCCGTTTGGCGGGGAGGGAAGGGCCAGCCTCTTGCAGCCTGCAGCCAGCCCCCCGGGCACCCATGCCAGTGGTTGGCCAGAGATCCAGCCAATCTCAACATTTTCCCCTGCTGCTTCTGGAACTTGCCTTGCTTGTGAGTGAGGCAAACAAGCCCGGGTGAGCCGGGCTTGTTTGATTTTCTGTGTGCTTTATTCCAAAGCACACCCACAAGCCTCAGGAAAAAAGCCTAATTAGTTTTGCTTGGAAAAGCTGGAAATGTCAGGGAAACAGGCACCATCATCCAAAGGATTCAAAGGTTTGCTACGCTCAGAGACCAGCATCTGGGAGTGACGTATGGGGCTGATGACGCTGCAGTGCTCACGGCGGCAATTCCATGTCTCAGGGACCCGGAATCATTCATTAGAGATTGAGGAGCATAAACCACTCGGCTCCCACTTGCAAGCTGCCAGCCGCAAGCACAGTCACCATCTGCACCTGCATTTCCTCTCGCTTCAGGAACCTCCACTGCACCCCACATGTAGGTGGCTCTGTGCTTCCCACCTACTCTCCCTGGAGGGCGGAGTCAGCTGTCTGGAACACCAGAGCCCAGCAGATCACAGATCCCTAGCATAGCCTGAAGACCACTGTTGGGACACGGGGCTGGCATCAGAATCAGAAGCGGAAAGGAAACACCTTCCTGAGGCACATGCCCTCTGACTTACCGCTCTCACCAATTCATCCTCCCAAACTCTGTTTTTCAGGGCTCTTAGCACCCTCGCCAGACAAAGCAATAACAAAACAGAACCAGGAAACCTTCACTAGCTCCATGCCATCTACAAAACAAACCCTGCTTCTCCAGCAGGGGCTGCCAGGCCCATAGGAGCCAATCCACGGTTGTCCTTCCATGACTGCAGGGTTCCCAAGGCTGCCAGGCCTCAAAGCCCTGGGGCCCCCAATGCAGGCACCCTGCTGACCCTCCAGCTTGGCATCCCTAGAAAGCCCAGCCCTGCCCCTGAGAGTCCTTCCCTGGCACCTGTGGGTTATTAGGAGGCGCCTCTCCTGGAACTCATTTCTTAAGTGTATTTTGAGCGCTGAGTATTTTACATATCCTATCTTGACCTGCACAAAATATTGTCTATTTTATCGACAAGGAAATTGAGGCCCAGGGAAGTGGGGTCACAAAGATGACTGAACACCCAAGTTGCAAAGCCAGGATTCAGTCACGGCCGTGTTCCCCTCCCCAGCCTGGCTGCTCGCCTTTATTTATTCGTTGTTGCTTATTTTTATCATCTAGTTTTTCTACGGCCCATGGTTGCTTATTAGTTATTAAATTACTTCATAATTACTTACCTAATTAAAAATAAGAGGGGCTGGGTGCAGTGGCTCACACCTGTAATCCCAGCACTTTGGGAGGCTGAGGTGAGCAGATCATGAGGTCAGGAGATCGAGATCATCCTGGCCAACCTGGTAAAACTCCGTCTCTACTAAAAATACACAAGTTCGCTGGGTGTGGTGGTGCGTGCCTGTAGTCCCAGCTCCTGGAGAGGCTGAGGCAGGAAAACTGCTTGAACCCCAAAGGTGGAGGTTGCAGTGAGCTGAGATTGTGCCACTGTATGCCAGCCTGGTGATAGAGCGAGACTCCATCTCAAAAAAATTAGTAAATAAATAAATAAGAGGAAGACGCTCACGCACCGCAAGTGGAGAATCCCCTTTCGCAGGTCCAGCCTATAGCATCCGAAATAAAGTCTGCAGCAAGACGGAAGGGGTCGGGCACCATCTGAGTGTGCAGAAACAGGCTACTGTCAAGTGTGTTCTGATGGAACCAGACGGTGGGGCCGCGTGATATTACATAACAAGTCAAAACAGTGACTTCAAAGAATCACCCATGGCAAATGTGACAGGAAAATCTCAAAAGATGCATGGCACTGCCCGAGGTGTGTAAGTGGCCTAGAAAACGAGACACCCATGAGCACACGTGTGTCAAAGGCATGGCTCCAAGCCCCACCCCCGAATAACAGACCCAGGTTTGATTTCCCAGCATCCTGGAAATCTAGCACAAATCCTTGCCAATCCCATGTGGCCTTCAGCCCTTCACCTCAAAGTCAAATCCTGCCTGCCAAGCTCATGCCCCTGCTACGAGGCACTGCTGTGCAGGACTGTACCGCCGCTGCCGGACCCCAAAGCCGTGTGTTCAGAGTCAGTCGCAGCAGCAGGCCAGCAGGGCAGCTTGCAGAGGGACCATCCGTAAAAGGGCAGATGGCAACTGCCCTAGGCAGAGACGCTGGCCAATAAAGCCCATATTCTACCCACCCACCCCCACCATTTATGTGCCAGTGCTGTCCCTGGCCACACAATCCTGCAAGTTCTGTGCAGGGGAAAGCCAGAGGCCAGGGCAGCTGAAACAGGAGGGAACCGCTGGGCTCAAGGCCCAGCCTCACTGACCACACTTTATTTCACTTGGGAGCCGGCGGCTGGGGAGATGGGGCATAGCACGGCCCTGGCTGGCGCCAGTGTCTGAGATCAACTGGGCCCAGTGGGATGCGGCATTTTACAGTGTGGCATTTTACTTCGGAGCCCCATTCCCGTGCCAGCTTGAGGCTGGTGCCCTGCACTCATGGACTCTGTGCAATATGCCAGGTCCTGTGGTTGCGTCTGAAATACCCCGACTGGGAACCAGTGTGCCTAAGAGGGCTGCTCTGCACCGTCAATGTCCTTGTTGAACCTGCAGCAGAAGGCTTGTTAATCAGGTCCCTGGCGAAATGAGTGGTGTGCAGACTGAGTCAGAAGGCTGGCACAGGCTGCAGCCCCCTTGGATAAAGAGACAGAGAATCTGGCCGGCCCACAGCCCACCCATCTGCAGCCCCGGTGAGCTGGACACAGTTGATCTGCATCCTCCACCTCCAAGGACCCGGCAGCTGCGTCTGCTCCCAGTTGGACCAGTCCTGCCCGTCCTAACACCACTGGGTCCTGCTCAGAGTGTGTCTGCCGGACAGCAGCGTCGAGACTTCCTCTGAGCTACAAGAACAGGTTGGACCTGCTGCCT